TCTCTCTGCCTGGGATGTGCTCCCCACACCTCCCTCACCTGGTAACTCCTAGTACCCTCGGCTCTCAATGTAAGCATTGCCTTCCCAGGGAAACCTGATCTAACTCATTCAGTGGCCCTGTCCTGTGTTCCCACTGACCCCACCTCCTACACCCCCAGCCCCACACTGACCCCCTCTGAGAGCACTCTCCACACTGCTGACTAACTTCTCTGTCTCCCCTCAGCAAGCCTTAAACGCCTGCAAGGCAGGGATCTTGTTTTAATCTGAATTTGTATCCTCAGCATTTAGCAGAGTGCCAGGCCCATGGTGAGTGTTTAGTAACTATTTGGTAAATGAATGAGTAAATGAACAAATACATGAAACAACCCCTCTGTCCCCTCTGTTTATACGCTGAGAATAAACTTTCAGGTGTTCGGGGAAAAGTTAAAAGGTCTGCTGTCAATCATTTTCTCCACAGTAAGAATGGATCCCTGTGTCTCCACTCCCAAGGGGATCTGCTTTTCAAGTCTTCAAGTTTTTCTCTTATTTTAGGGATTTCTGATATCAGGGAGCTGATAGAAGCGGATGGGTTTTGGTTGTTTTTGTTTTGTTTTGTTTTGTTTTATTGAGAAATAATTGACAAATATCACTGTATAAGTTTTAGGCATACAACACAATGGTTTGACTTACATGTATTGTGAAATGATTATCACAATAGGTTCAGCCAACACCTATCATCTCATATAGATACAATAAAAAGAAAAGAAAGAAGAAAAGAAGAAAGGAAGAAAATTTTCTCTTTCTGATGAGAACTCTTAGGATTTACTTTCTTAACAACTTTCCTATGTATCATACAGCAGTGTTAACTATAGTCATCGTATACATTTCATCTCTAGGACTTACTTTATCTCCTAAGTGGAAATTTGTACCTTTTGACCACCTTCCTCCAATTCCTCCTCCCCCGACCTGCCACCTTGGGTAACCTCTGATCATGTCTGATCTCTTTTTCTATCAGTTTGGTTCTTTGTTTGTTTATTTTTTAGATTCCACATATAAGTGAGATCGTGTAGTATTTGACTTTCTCTGTCTGACTTATTTCACTTAGCACAATACTTTCAAGGTCCATCCATATTGTCACAAATGGCAGGATTTCCTCATTTTTTATGGCTGAATTATATTCCATTGTGTATATATACCACAACTTCTTTATCTATTCGTCCACCGATGGACCCCTAGGCTGTTTCCACAAATTGGCTACTGTAAACAATGCTGCTGTGAGCATGGGACGCAGATATCTTTTCAAGTCAGTGTTTTTGTCTCCTGTGCTTATATGCCCATAAGTGGAATTGCTGGATCATATGTGGGTTCTATTTTTAACTTTTTGAGAATCTTCCATACTGTTTTACATAGTGGCTGTGCCAATTTACAATCTAGAAGGAGACGTTTGAGGAATGGTCTTCCCGACCCAATGGAATCAATTATAGTGGGGTCATTATAATGTGGATCTATAAAGCCTGCCCACTGCTAAGGCTTGACCCCCTCTGCTACTAAGCTGGCAGACCCCCAAGTCCCCAAGCTCCAGAATTGGCAAACTCCAGCCGTTAGACCAGGGAGGAAGTAATGTGCACTGGGAACAGCCAAGATTTGGAGTTGAGAGATCTAGAATTCCAGCAGCGAGCAATTCTCAATGTTTTCCCCCAACCTTGTCCTCATTTGTAAAATGGAGACACAACAAGACTATGTGAGCACTGGCCTTTCTAAACCAACGTGCCTTGGGCCACACCTGCCCTACAGACATGGAAGGGATGGGGAACGCTGAACGACCAGATGCCATAAACTGCACAACTTGGCTGAAATAGGAAATGTCCTGAAAGACACAAACTACCAAAGCAAACCCGAGAAGAAATAGATAAACTGGACCTTAGAGCCAGGGTCACTCTCAACTTCTCATTCTCTCAGACACTGTCATTCTTCTATAGGTTTTTAAGGGGAAGATATTCTCCACTTCCTTTGAATCTCACCCTCCTCCCTCCTTCCTTCCATCTCCTTCTCCACCTCCACTCCTAGAAGAATGACTTCCTTGCTGCTCTGTGTGCCCATGATTGTTAGACAGATCTCTGATTAAGGTCAGGTTGATCAAAAGCCACTGCTAAGCCTAAAATGATAAGGGCAGGGGTGGTAAAGGGGCCTCTGACAGGATCTGAAGCCTCACAAGACTCATTCCACAACATCCACCACCGCATCACTGCCATTTGATGGCACATCCATGTCTCCAGTCTAAAGGTGACAGGAACTGAGCTTGACCCATGGGCTTTGGCATTGACTTCTTTGAGGAAGGCACAGTGGTTCTGGGTGGTTGTGTCAGCCACTTATAGATAGGGGTGTCAAGAAGAAGCCCCAAGCATGGGGTTGTGTTGTGGAAGTGATCCTCTTCGGAAGTGGACCAGAATGAGGCCCACAAGGCTGGTAAACCAGCTGGCCAAAGTAGGATCAGAAACCAGCCCTTTGAAAAGCTAGACGTTTTCATGATTCCTACACTCTCTTCCCCTTTGGTTCTCCTTTAGAATTTCTTAATCTAATCATTGCAGCTCACGTATGTTGTAATATGGGAAGCCAGAAAAGTATATTGATTCAAGTGTGGGCAAAATCTATATAGAAATCATCGGTATATTCCAGAGGCATCAGGAATCAGAAATTGAGAACCCCAAAGAGAGTGAAAACTTTGGGACTAGTTATGGGCCACTGGGCCAGTCCCTTATTTCCCACCCCAAGCTCTTTTCTGCTGACCCCCTGGCGGGTCCAGTTTTCACAGCATTTCTAGCCTACGTTCTTGCCTCCCACTCCCATGGGGCCTAATTCCATGCTGGGTAATCCACACTGTGAGGGCTTTACAAACGTCTTCTTGGATGCAAAAAGTAGAGAAGGTTGCGGTACTTCATCTTCCAGTCTCCAAAGAAAAGTCTATCATCCAGATCCTTCCAATCTTCCCAAACTGAACGTTTCATTCACACCATACCACATGATCAAGGTCATTTTCAATGTGGTAAAGTGAAGAAAGTGACAATCGGACAACACTACATTAAGAATTATTTTTTCCTTCCTAAAAGCCATCTAATTTTTTTCCCTCTAATATTTGTTACAAAAAGATTCAGTAGCTCATGTGCCATCTGACCTTTTCCAGGATGTTACACTGAGTCAGGAAATTTTTTTTCCTTTCTTTTTTCTTTTTCCCAGAATCAGCCCAACTTAATGGGTTTGCCACTAATTACTTTTTTCCTATATAGATATTTTTTCCCTCATGCCCTCACTTATCTTTTACTAATAAGCTTCCAGGGAACACGTCATCTTTCCAACCCATCACATAACTTAGAAGTTGTGGAAGCCACGTACAGGAGAAGTTACTGTCTTCTCTCTGAGAAGGGACTAGCTGGCCCAGGGTCCAGTCTAGCTTCGTGGTTAAAGGGCCCCAGGCCCTTCCTCCATCTCTTGATGAGTGTCAGAATGCCAGGCACTCCCGTGGAGGTGCCTACAGTGCAGCATGCACAGTGTGGCCAGGTTACCATTCCAGCTGATTAATTTGCCTCACTACTGCTCAAGAGATGGAGAAATAAAGGGACTAAAAGCCTATTCATCACCCTCACTGAGCTGTGGGATGAAATACTTATTTTGGAAATAATGATTCCAGGTAGGAGGGTAGTGAAAAATGGGGCCTGGGAGAGGCAAGTGTTTTATTACACAATTTCTAAAATGTGAGCACTTAACGCTCTTTCATTATCATATATTATTACAGTTCTATAAAAATCGTTTCTAGGAATCAGTCCTAAAGTTTTGAAGCCTCCTCCAGAGAGCCAGAAGGCAGAATTTAGAAAAAGGCCTCAAAATAGAGAAAGTATACTTTCAACTCTACATATTAAGACTTAATGATAGCAGTATCCACACTCAAGACTTGATCGACCTTACATGAACAATGCAGTGACTGGGAATTTGTAGTAGCCATGACTTCAAAAAAAGGCAACATTTTTATAAAGGAGAGAAGATGGGTATGAATGTCCTACTTTTCAGATGGGAAAACTCAGGCCCAGAAAATATAAGTGAAATTACTTTAAGTGAAAGTCAGCGAGTAGCAATGACGCTGGAAAGAAAAGTCCATCTATTTCATTTACAGTTCCACCATTTCTCCACTTGCTGCCTGGGCAGTTTGGAGAGCATCTCAACCCAACCCTGCTCCATCTTGGTATTACTGCTCCCTTCACTGAGATCTGGGTTTTCATTCCAGGGAGTGCATTAACTTGCTGTGTAATTTGACATAGAAAACACTAAGAGGCTTTCAACTCCTGCTCTCCCATTAGGATCAAGACCTGGAGACAAAGGAATCAAGTGAAATTGATGGGGAGCTCCAAGGCCCTGACAAATATCCCTGTGCCGAAGGAAAACCGTTCAATCTACCTGGGCCTCAAATGTCACCTAAGTGAGGTAAAGCCAGCAGGGCCAGCTCATAAATCCATCTTGGGTGGTGATGATGCTTTCACACATGTATGAACCTTGACACCTACAGGCATTTCATATACTCTCCCTCCTTCTATCTTCATGAAAAGCCCACCCCATGGCAGGCACTCAGAGGGGATTCCCCAGCACAGCAATTCTCAGACTCAAAAGTGCACAGGAGCTGCCTGGGGATTTATTAAAAGGCAGATTCTGATTCAGTAGGTCTGGGGTGAGCCTGGGGCTCTGCCTTTCTAAAAAGCCCCCAGGTAATCTCGACTCTCCAGCTCCCAGGACCACACTTGAGCAGCAAAGCACAGAGCAGAGTTTGATAAAACACAGTTCTAAGGACTGAAAAGACAATAGCAATGAATAGCTCCGCATGATGGGGCTCAAATGTAATATTCCCCATTGAAGACATTTCCTACATCATTCATTTATTAACAGTGTTTTACTGACAGCTGGCAGCACTACAGGGGTGAAGCGTGCCAACAAAAGCCCTCTGAAGGAGCCCAGGAAAGGACTGAAGATTTACTCACGGGAGAAGCGGGCAAGGGGCCTGGCAGTCTTGTCTCCAGCTTCATTTGCAACTGGAAAAAAAAAAAAAAAAGATGCAATTAAGAACAGGGCACGTGGGTCCACAGAATATGCCCAACACACAGCGAACCCTCTGGATGATCTGACACTAAGCTGTGTCTGAGAGTCTTTGTAGGAGAATAACAGCAATTTCACTCCCCGTCTTGCCATATTTCCAGTGCTGCTCTCAACACCCAAATGAGGTCAAATGTCTTAATCATTTTGATTAGAACATCCAAATAAGGTTGGAGAGGACCTAAACCACATTCAGTTTACTCTGCCTGGGGGAGTAAACTGGCTCACATCCACTTGGTAAGAGGCCTGCATGCCTGGCTTCCAAGTCGAGGTATGTCCTTCTGCTTCAAGCTTCCTCTCATGGGGCTGTCCTTCATCACGCAAATGCACCCCAACCACCTGACATAGTCCGATTTGCTGGGATGGACAGCGGCAAAGAGAAGGCAGCGATTTCAGAAGATAACAACAAAGTTGGCTTTTGTTAAGAAGGATATTTAAATTTAGAGGCTAACCAACAAGGAGTTCAAAGAGGGGGATGGAGGAAATTGTTCCGAGAACGGCTGTAGAAAAGCTTACCCCTAACGTTCCTCAGCAGGGCAGTGTACTCTCCCCTGAAAAGCCTCCACATAATTTATCACGTCGACAGAGTCATAATTAATATGCCCTATATTTATGGACACCCTCTTTGTGACTAAAAAAGAGATAAATTATTAAGTAGAGACACAAGTTTCACTCTCTTTAAATAGCACTTTCAACGCGCATAGAGATGACACCTTGGTTGTCTTGTATATACACAGTAAGTAAGCATAATACTTGTGATCAACTTGAACGAACACCCAAAGCAATCAACTGGAAAACCCTGTTCATTTTAGTTTAGAAAAAATATTCAATACACAGGCAGGATAAAGAGGCTGCTGATGTAATCATTAATATATGAGAAGTTGCAGCCGTAGGACAAAAGAAATAAGTACTTCATAAAGATTACAATATCTTGCAAAGAACGGAAGGAGTCAAAAAATTCCTTTCACCCTCTCACAAAGGTAAACACTTTAAAATCGACTACACGTGGACAATTTTTTTACATTAAGGGATTCAATCTCAACCTACTTTTGTATTTGCATTACATTATTTGCATTGCCCCACTTGTCCCCGCTCTCTTTGTATTACAAACAAGACGTTGTACAAAATGACCAGCAGGGGGAGGTGACACTGCATCCTGCTTCCATTCTTTCTCACACCCCAGCATTTCAAAAAGAAAAAGAAGAGAGATGGAGAGAAGAGAGGGAGGCAGAGAAAGAGAAAGGAGCGAGCCCTAGTTAGGTACAGACGTGAGATTCCCTCGCTTTCCCTTCAAATTGTTTCCTCTTTAGACACCATAGATCTCTAAAGAAAGAAACAAACCAAGGTTTTTTCCAAAATATTTGCTGCAGAAACTGATGAGCTGCTTTTACAGGAGGATTACAAAGACCACTGCAATTGCTGAAAATACCAGCAACCACTAAAATGTTCAACTTGGAGAGTGCACGTCTTCCCCATGGGAAGAAAGAGGAGCAACGACGCTACTGTCACTATTTTACATGCAGCCATGGCTGCTTCCCCACTCACTGGCTTTTTCTTCCTCTCCCCTCCACTCTGTCCTACGATGCGAATAGCTGACCCAGATCTGAGTCACACCAGGAGAGGCAAGAATCAAGATCTAGGCCAGTGGAGTACCAAGAGAGTTGTCTCTACCCTAAAGGAATCTGAACTCTGCTACCAGTATTATTTTCCTAGACAAAGACCCAATGCCACACTTCCCTGTTAAGAGGTCTCCAGTGATGTCCTAATGCCTACAAAGATACAATCCAGCCAAGTTGGCCTGGTATCAAAAACCTAGCCCCATCCATTCGTCTTAGCTCACTGTATTTCCTAGAGCATCATTCAGTGCCCAGCCACACGCTCTAAATTGACAACTCCCCCAACATACTCTACACTCTCTCTCCTCCTTACTATTGCTCCTGTTGCCCCTTCCCCCGAGACACCCTTCTCCACTGCTTTGCCTGACCAACTCCTACTCATCTTTTAAGATTCAGCTGCGGCCATTCATTTCCAAAAAGCTTCCCTGACTCCCATCACACCTTCTCCATCCCATCCATCTCTGCCCATCTGCCTGACTCCCCTTCCAGACCAATAGTTCTCGAACTTTGCCAGGCAAATATGAGGAAGGTTTGTTAAAATAGATTGCAGAGTTCATTAAAATGCAGATTCTGATTCAGTGGGTCTGCAGTGGACCTCAAGAATTTGCGTTTCTAACAAGTTCCCAGGTGATATTGAGGATGCTGGTCTGGGGACCATATTTTGAGGACAGCTGCTCTAAACTATACAAGCTACCCCACCCAAGACGAGCACCATAACTTTTCATTTTTGTATTTCCAGCCTTTTGAACAGTGACTGGCACACAGAATAATGCCTTCAGTCAATATTTTTAGAACTGAATGAAGTAGACTGAATCAATACCAAATGCCACAGATGGCTTAGTAGACCAAGACCTCAGACTGGCTTCCAGGGGACTATAAAAAGTCCCAGGTATATTTTGTTCAGTCCCACAATGTTTTTCATTTTTAAACAATTAGTTTTCTGCATTTACAAATCAAGAGATTTCAAATATAAATAAAGATTGTCAGCTTCTCTCAATAACTGAAAGACTATCCAGTCTCACAGCCCAGCAATAGATCACCAAGGAAATGTCCTCTATGGGTGGGCCCACCTGCTGGATGTTCAGGAGGTAACTGCTGACTGGCACTGGGCTTTCTATAGTCTCAGCAAGGCAAGTGAAACAGGACCTCTTAAAAGGATTAAAGAACGAAGGTAAAACTCAACTGAGACCAGCACTAGACAGAGTTTGTGGCCAAGCGTGCTAAGCTCTTCGTCCCCAGCCTACAAACTGCCCAGACACATTCAACAAACTGCGCAGACACACCCAGGCTTCTTGACCAGCAAAAGAGCCTTCACACATTGCTGTTTGCCTTTTATTTTTAAAAATACATGGCAAGCTTTAACAATAAAGTAGATGTTCCACTTAGATGCAATTAGAGCTTGAATTTGGTAAGATCTCATAAAAATGATTATGTAGATTTAAGGAAAGTTATCCATGTCACACTGCTGGGCAAAACACACAGATCACTATGTATCCATCGATGTATTCCATTGATGTTGAATTGCATGTCTAGGCTACATGTGCATATATGCACAGAGAAACGAGTGGAAGGGTGTGCACCAGATACGTTAACAGTTATTTCTTCTGTGTGTTGGCATTTGGGGAGACTTTTAACCTTTTTAGACTTTTCTACATAAACCCAATAGTTCATGATATGCATGCACTATGTTTATACTCAGGAAAAATTTTTATTTTTATTAAAGGGGTAGAAAACAATTAACTTATTTTATATATATATATGTATAATTTTAGATACTGTATATGTATGTTTATTTATTTATTTATGTAAATTATGTTTTGGATTCAGATGTCAGACCAGTCTTGGATCACAGAATCCAGGGGACTTTCCAACTCTAGTCCAAGAGGACTCCCTGTAAGACTCAAGCAATGAATCTCCCATTTTGCTTTCCAGGAGGTTCCACAAATTCTAGGTCAGTGATTTGCAGCCCTGGCCACACATTAGAATCACCTAGGGAATTTTTTAAAATCGTGACACCCACGCCACACCCCAGACCAATTAAACAGGGCCTCAGGGGGTGAGACCCAAGCCCCGGTACTTTTTAAGCTCCCAGGTGATTCCAGTGAACAGCTAAGGCTGAGAAGCACTAACAGACATGTCACTTCACACATCTTTATCAAAGCAACCTTCAGGGAGGAAGGTGTGGCTCAGAGTCCTTTCAAAATAATTACTCCTCTTCAGTTCTTTTCAGGATGCTATCGTTTAGTCATTAAAATCCTGAATGGAGACATCCCTCTATTTGAAGAAAAATACAACTGTTAGGACTACAAACATAACTATGGAGATCAATTAGGGAGCAACTCTTCAAATGATGAAGGGTTCCTTATAAAAGGATTGCCTCCACCCTCCAACACATGTGTACGGAGCATCAACTGGGAGCTCGGCACTGGGTTAGATGCTGGGTGGACTACTGCAACAATGGATTCCACTCAGCCTTGACAGACAGGTAAGTGAGGGAGGTAAGCTGTGCCTCTCAATCTGGGCTTATCCCAGTGTGATCAGCTTAGAACTGACTTTAAGATGATGATGACAATGATGCAGATTCCTTGGTCCCAGATCCATTGAATGAGAATCCCTGCAAGTGGGGACTGGAGTCTAGGTTTTAAGCAATTGCCTCAGAAGCTACACTCACATCTGAGAAGTGGCATTCTAAGTGAAGTAGGCCCCTGGTATGGCTGTTGTACGTATCCCCCCCAAAAATTGGCCAGAAACAAATCTTAAAGTAAGGACACGTCATGGAGATCAGTGGGAGGGAAGCAGGTGAGGCAGGAAGTTAACTCAGAGCAATGAGCATCCCAACCCCAGGCAATGAAGGCAGCTTTGACGTCCCAGCTAAGCCACAACAATCCAGGCCATCAGAACAGGACAGGCAAGGGCGGTCCAAATAATTGTGGTGGTGGCCTAGGCAGGTGCACACTGCTTTGTAACCAAAACTCGCACCAAAAACACTGCCACCCTTGTTTTGAACACCCTGGAACCTGGGCAAGCATAAACCCAGCTGGGGTGCCAGGTGCCAGGGCAAGCACCAAGTGAGCAAGCAAGCCGGGGGCAGAGCCTGGCTTCCTGAAAGGAAATCTGCCTGACGCGCTGGTTCCTGCTGCTTTGCCATGATCTCTGGGGCAGGCCCAGGGACCTTCCAAGGTAAGATCCTTTGGGAAGCCTGGTGGCTGGAAAGCCAGGCACAAGGGACTCCAAGAAAAGAGAACCATCGAAGGAGGTTCTAGGCACCTTCTTAGTTAGTGTAGAAGCTGAAGCGTGGAATTTCTCACAGATGTTTGGCCTCA